GCTGTGTTTGTGACCGGCATCTACCGTCTCTGCCTCACCACCATCCTCCTGGGGGTTTGCGTGTGCTGGTTGCTCGCTTGCAAATATCTGATCGCACAAATGTGCTCCAGAACTGTGTCTGTGTTGACCAATAAGGTGAGCACCTTCTGGAATCGGGGAAACTTTTGATCTTTTTTATGCAATGCCGATTGACGATTGCTGCGGACCTCTTAATCATTTGTATAATCAACTCGTGTGTACTGCCTATTTATCCAATCACAAAGTGACGATTCTTTGAAAGAAATGAATATCGGGGGGTAGGGGGTGATGACACACACTCACCAGGAAGCCCGAGCGGACGAAGATGAGGGAGATGACATGAGCTCCGCTAAGGCAAGTTTTTTATCGGAACTTCTGGATGCCTCCTCAAGTCCACCATTAGAGGCATGGTGGGAGCAACGATGGAAGTAGTACACTTTTTGAGGGGACCATTCTAACAACCCAACCGCGTTTCTCAAACGCTACGCTGATCACTATCAGATACCTATGTCTTAACTCGCTAGACTCCCTACGCGGCTGATTAATATCAGAGAGAGAAAGGGAGATAGGCTTTATTTTGTCACTACCATCCCAAAATTTTCGGCAAAAAAGATTCAGCTAGCCGTGGATAAAGGGGATGCGCAAAACAGATAAAACCAGAAGATCACAAGCGATAGCTACCGAAAACTGCAACGGTCAATATCATGAAGATTCGCCGTGAATGAATTGTAAAATTCGCGTCAGACTTGACTTCCTTCAAAACGGCGTAGCGTAGTGTGCAGATGACCTTATTATTGTAGTCCAAATAAACGAGGAGGCGAAAAAATCGGTATATAATGAGTAAAATAGGTCAAGGGATGTACGTATAAGAAAATTTCTTCGTGAAACGAAAAGTAGGAAAAGGGTGGCGGCCCAATTTGAAAATTAATTATAGGCCCAAATCTTCGATACGGTTAATGTCCTCTGTCCGCTGCTCAAATGTCACCTTGACGGCTCCTAAGGAGAAGCCAAAGTGGCACTGGAATTGTTATTTCTGGTTTATTTGCATCCCTGAACGGTAGTTGCTAGAGCACCCGAGGTTTGATGCAAGGCAAGAGGATCATCGAGTACCTAAATCCAGCACTAGAGACCACTTTAACTGCGGGGTCTATGCTCTGGCAACTGCGGTCAGGTTACGTTTACGCAGCAATGACGCTGATCATCCTATCCTTGTTGCGATGCAGAACACGGAGGGATTCGTGTTCGCCCTGAAGCTTCGGATCTCGATCACATGTCGGCATTCGGTAAACGACTAGAGGACAATGAACGAGACATCATATAGGTCATAGTTTGCCACCCCACTGTCATTTTACCTTGTTGGTAAGACTTATTGAGTATGGACGGCTACTAGCTTACATACCTCCTGTGAGGATCCTAGACCCGAAGTCCCAAGGCGGGCGAATGTCGGCCCGTCCTGTTTCGTTCTACACGCAGGATAGATCAGTGAACGCTACCGCCACATCAGAATTGTATTTCCCATCCCTACCTCTAGCCAGCCTCTATTGGCCACCTAACTTTCTTCGTTGAGAAGCACTCAGACTCACGACAAGAGACAGGCCTAAATAACTACTTTTCAGTCACTACGTCTTAGTCCTTCACTTCACGAAGAAATAACGCGTCGGATCTGAGACTCAAGTTCTTATAGGCACCATTTCTGGCTCTTAAGAGGCACAGAAATTCAGCAATTAGGTGGGGTAGGGGTTGTTGTTACTGCTGTTGTTCAGAACAGTATCTCACCGTGACTGTTGTACCTCACTCATTAAGCCTAATGAGTCATGCATGATGACCTTTCACCTCCAACTGGGTTATTGATCCCCCGATATCCCTAAGCCTGCCGGCAAACGGCTGGGCTTTACAGTTCACTTCTGTCTGTCAGCTAGGTAGCATGACTAAGAGGATGGTAGTCGGTAGCCCGAAAAAGGGAATCTAAGGTGAGAAATATGTGCCAGAACTCATCAGATCTGTGCCCAGGTTTTTATTAATGCTTTCAAGTATGCAAAATTACTTAGGTGAGACTTCATGAGTGAGCAGCACTTCGATTTTCAGCGTGGGTATCAATTTAGTAACAGCTTTTAGAGAAATGTGCAGTCTTTTCATTTCTTATAGCCTCTTTTTGCAAGCATGCTTATTGTTTGCATTCGTCGCTTGAAGAAGAGAGCACTTTCGTTCTATAGTGTTTGCTTTTTACTTTCGAACACGGTTAGTAACGCATTTATACTAATAAAACGACGCTTACAGTAGATGTGCTATCTCACGAAGTGTAAACGGAAATTTTGAAATACTTTTTCAATTCGAATAGATTGCTTAAGTAAATTTTTCATATGATTACATCACGTCGCGTAATACCAAGATATTATAGTCACGTCATAATGCTGACTTTAGAGCGATCTCCCTATTGACTGCCTGCGTAAACTATATTCCGTAAAAATGACTACCTAGATAATATGATTTTTTCTTGTTACTCTTCGATGTCCTAATAAAAGACATGCACAAAATTATCCGTCCTTTGCTCATTTAGTAGCAGCTATGTCCTCTTTCAATTTTATACTTGAAGAAAGAATATCCTGCAGTTTCAAAAAGTTTCTAATGATAAATTTTTTCGAAATTGTGGAATGTCTAATCGTGCAGCATTCTATCAGCACATTTATTAATGATGCTCAAAAAGTGGATAACATGGTTCACACATTACTAAATTTTACGAGCCCTATGTGTCCTCTCTATAATAACATAAAAATATATAATGTTCTTTGCGCAAAAATATGCAACTTGTAGTTTGGGATCCCTGAATGCAGGTGTAACAGCAGGTCAGGTTCAAAATTATTCAGGAATCGAGAGAGTTTTCTTAAGACCAAAAGATGTTATTTCTTCTGATCCAGGAATTTAAAAAGACGTAGTTTGTTACCAAATAAGTAGGGGAAAGACTATTTTTGTGCATGTTTTCTGTGAAATATATTTGGATTTGTAAGCACATCATAAATCAATAGAAAAAAACTTATATTACTTAAGTAGTCATTTTATGCGGAATATAGTTTATCCAAGCAATCTGTGGGAAGCTCGCTCAGAAGCCGGCAACCTGACGTAACTGGAATATCTTGGTATTATGTGACACAAGAATTAATACGGCAACTTTGTTTAAGTAATCGGTGAGATGTGGTTATGTAGCCCCACCTGATAGATACAACACTGCTGGGGTTGGCATTAGGGTTAGGGGTTAGTGTTGTGGTTAGGACAACTATTTCTCAACCCTTTAAAGTGCAACCGCGCATTCGCAATAGCTTTTCTTTTGCATACAACTACTTGACCTCGTCGCCTGTGCATCCCACCGACCCCACCTTTAAAAAGCCCCATCACCACCCGTCCCGTATGACAAATGGCTGAGGTTTGTTTAGTTCAGGTGGAGCTGCATAATCACATCTGGCCAGGTAATCTTTCCGAACTGAAAACGTATTTCAGGATTTCGGGCAACGTTTCATGAGACAGCATATCAACCTCAAGCCTAGGCTACGATAGCGAAAACAGTCCTATAATACAGAGGAATACGAGGTTATCTTTTCTGCTAGAAAAATTTTCGCTATGAGTCACTTGAGTGTATGGACAGACAAATTCTCTTGATTCTTCTTTATGTTCGTCTTTTGGAGGAGTAAATACCATGGGCATTCATTTGCTAAATAACCTAGAGAAGCATATTGCAAATAGTAAACCTAGCGGGAGTGTTTTTTATTCAACCTCCCGCTAGGACGCTGACGGTGCGGAAGGATGAGGTGATGTCCATGCCTGTCATTCCATTCTCGCTATCATCTTATTGACCTTCAGTTCAGTTATGAAGATGTCCTACAATTCGGGGATTTGAAGGCTGGCAGATAGCGCGAAGCCTAAAAGTGAACCTTCTATGATTCCCTCATAATGTGTCTTTTTAAGCATCATTTTCGAGTGTACTAATGCTGGTTCGGTTAGAAGAGGAAAAAGTATATTTTCGGGTTTGCATCAGCAGAAACGCACTGTCTCGGTCGAACATTGCACCAAACCTTATTTCATACCGTTGAAAAGGTAGTCTTGGGAATTGAATGGGAAAAGACCGGAAGAAAGAGAGGAGGAGGAGGAGGAGGAGGAGGAGGAGGAGAAGGAGGAAGAGGAGGAGGAGGAGGAGGAGGAGGTCGACGGTGCACAAGCATCCCTGTTATAAACCAATTCACGTTCATGCTGTTTTGCTCGAGAAAACTGTTCTTTGCCGACCATGGCGGAGAAGCTACTACGTGTTACGATGGTGATTTGTTATTGTAACAATTTGTGTCTCAAAAGACAAGCTCACACGAAAGGTTTTAGTATGGTTATCGAAGCCCCAGATAACATGCGCCTGTAACTAAGAGTTGGCATGCGGTCGATTGCGCGCTTTGTACAGCGGTGATTTAGTCACTAAAAACGGAAACGTTGTTTGCATGGTGGAATATAAATAAAGAACCTCTAAGAAGTTCGGGATCATATTCGGCGACTGTGAGGGTAAAATATGCTGAGGTATTAAAAGTTCAAGAGAATCAAATTGCCCCTTTTTGTGATTAAGATTTATTCGCAGTTGTTGCGCGTTATGGTAGTGAACTGCAATTAATCGGTTGACATTGAGCCAGAGAGTCTTGGACCGATAGACTGGCCGTCCGAACTATCGGCCAGGGACTTTTTCGTGACCTGCGCCCCTTCTTCTCGTTTCCGCTTTGCAGATGTTCCTGGCGCTCTTCGAGTGATGCCTTCTTCCCCCCGTAGCCTTTCCTGTTATCCCAACACGCAAGGAGACATTAATATGCTCCTTTTACCCGCCAGCTTGCGATAACTCCTGTTAGACTGTTGGTTTCTTGTGTGGCCTGACCGGGCAGTTTTTGCCCTCTTGAAATCTTCATTTTGGGCAGGCAAGTGATGGGAATGCGCGACCGCACCTATAGATGTTTCCTTGGGCCAATCCACGAACAGCAGCCCAACGATATGCACCAAAGCTATTGTTCTCGCTCCAACATCCTCCCCCCTCCCCCCCCCTCCTCAAGTCACGGTCGCCGAATGTGCCGCTGGATGACGCGACAGCAACCTCATCAATTCCTTCGTGGCGTGGCCGCGAAGGCTTGTGTGCTACCACGAGGGCCATAAATTGTGATTTAGGTGTAAAACCATCAAACGCCGCATCTGCAGAGATCGTGAAAGTGGAATTATTAGTCACCTCCTGACTCATTTATGTTCAGACGTGGCATCCTACCTCAATGCGCTGAAAATCTTACAGCTATTTTTCGCCCAGGATTTTCCCAGCCGTTTAAGAAGTCGGGTCAATTCTTCCACGTGGTTTTATACTAAAAGTGGTGATATCCTCAGTTCTCGAATAAACTATAGAATAGTCGGCTAGATCGCAGTTGGTAGCCAGGAATGGGGAGGCGGACGCCGACCTTACCCTTAATCCCAACCCTAACCTCAACCTTGAACGTTAACCGTTAACCCTAACGGCAACCCTAACCCTAACCGAAATCGTAACCGGATCCGTAGCCCTTAGACATAGCCGTAACTGAAAAATCTAACCGTAATACCGAAACCTAATCGCACGCTCAAACCCTAACCGTAACCCGAAAACCTACGCCAAAGGCATAACTCTAACCCGAAAATCGGGAACAATTAACCGGTACCCTAATCCTAACCTCAGATGTAAAACGGAAGCCAAATGGGTCAGATGTGATCATGGAACCCCATTAAATAGCCACAGTAAGCAAAACCCCCAGCCACCTGTAATACGGGGCCTGGCTACCAACTGCGATCTAGCCACAGCGGTTAAGCTTAACTTCGTTATCGTCATCGGGCAGCTTGGTCCAACAACATCCTCGTCAGGAAAAGCATGAAATATGGACGCAAATCGATCGATTCGCTGTTTCATCGTCATCGGAAATATCCGCTTTACCGCCTTCCAGCCTGGACGTGCTGTCAGGCACTTATCGTACGCAACTGTAATAACTGGTGGCGTTTAGAAATATTTTGCCTAAATAAAGCGCCTAAGTCCGGCTTGATTTCCTAAAATTCCCTCTAAAATAGTCGGCCTCCGCAATTACTCACGAATCATTATGCTGCCGGCCGTAAGAGTCTAACGGCCGTAACGATAGGCAATACTTCAACCGATGAATTTTCCCTGCATGTACAAACTCCAAGGTAAAGTGCCGTTAGAAATGATGAAAGGCAAGGGTTTGCTTAAGGTTTTTGCCTGCCTTTTTGAGAATTTGTTAGTTTTTAAATCTATTTTCCCCATTCCTTATGTAGGTCACGCTGATCACAACCTGCCCGCCTAGTTCGCGCAAAATAGAGACCTTCCTAACATCAACTAACAGAAACCTGTTTCACCGAAGCAATTCACGAACCATTTGGCTGCCAGAGCCCGAGAAGACTCCTGACCCGATAAGGCCTCCTCGAGCTGAACAACTGCAGTCTGGCAGAAAACGAAAGTCCAGGGGCTCAAAGATTCGTGAAAAGCGGTCTACAGAGTCCCGTGTCTAATTCCATCCAAAACGATTCTGCATTTCATTAGAAGTCCACTTTTTGTATAGCCACTTGGACGCATTTCTTCCTTATCTCTTTCTCTCTCCTGGCCTTGTACTTTAGTCCTCTTCCTCTTCTTCTAACGGCAGATCCGTAAATGGCCTTTCGGGAGGCAATACCGGTACCTCAATATGCTTCTTTTTGTATATGTCTCTAACTGTGATTGACAGTGTTTGTTTTAAAAAAAGCATTATACAAGTGAAATGCAAACTTGCGTCTTTTCATTAAATTCTCCCTAACCTAACGTTTTTAAGCCCTGTTAAACTGTTTCGCTTTATATCTTGGCAAAACCTGTGGAATCTGTCTCAGTGCACTTCCACGGTACTTATGACACGCGACGAGACTAATAAATCAAAAGCTATTTGGTTATTGGGCATCTTCGCGCCAAGTGTTATTTTCCAGCGCATGCTACAACTTACGTGGACTGGAATGCGGGAACAGTTTAATTTCTGTATTATGAGCCTCTTATCCAGTTTTTATCTAGTCTGCGCCAGCCCCACCTATCTTTTGCCAAGTTGGTGCATGGGTTAGCAGTTGTTCAGGCTACCTAGTGACCTTTAGATCTTCGAATATTTGCGTTGATTTGGAAAGAACCCTGAATATGGTGGAGTGGGCATAAGGAAGAAAATACGGCTTTCAGGCCGCGTGGCATTTGCCACCGCTTCACCAACGGCCATGTGTTCATCGGTATGGTTATCTCGTAAAAATGCCTCTTTATAGGCGTAAAAGTAACTCGGCTAGACAGCTCAGTTGGCAGAAAAGGACTTTCTGGCAGCGCAAATTAATCGTTCGCGCTCTCTCCTCCTCCCCCTAAAGATCATGGTCACAACCCTGCTGAAATTTTGCAATCTACTAACACCAATTAATGTTCCTTCCATGCTACAATAAACAAGCTCAACACGATTATGCATTTGTTTATTAATAAGCGGAACTGCAAATGTTAGTGTTATGCGCTTGCAAGAAGGAAGAAGACGGTAAATGTCATAAAGTTATGATGCTGGAGCGAAGTATCGCCATTCCAGCGTGAGAAACTGGGAATTTATTTGCCGTAAGCTCGTATGCATCTGAGGTGCCTCAGGCTTTGTGAGAGTTTAAGGTTGTGACGCCTTTTCTCCTTCTAATGCAAAGGGTGTATTTTTGGGCCTTAATGTCTTCATTGCAAGTTTAGCGTCAAATGCGTCTATTATATGAGCTGTTATTTGCTCGGTAAACAAATAAAATTTCACCTTTAAGAAATTTCAATTTTCCTACGGTCCTGATATGACGGCCAATGCAGTCCACAGACGTCCGACGCGTTTTACCGCTTGGTTCCCAGGCAACTTCGCTCGCTGTTTCTAATTAGTCCGCAAAATTAAGATTTCGGACGGCCTCTTTTGAGAATAGAGCGGAAAAGCGAGTACTGGGCGCACATTAAACACGACCAATGGTCTAATGAACTGGAAGTCATTTGGCGCCGAAAACTGATATGGACGATTTAAAATGCGTGGTTTTCGATGCATGACTACCATTAGTGTACTCATTTCACCAAGAAAAATGCAGGGACTAAAACGCTGTGTGAATTATGAATATTGACTTTTTAAGTTAAAGGCCAATGCGCACGCCTAGTAATAGAATATCACTCGTGTAATTCCGCCCTTTTCAGTGCTCCGGCACTTATTTTATTTAGTCTCTTCTACACTTTCCCTTTTTTCACCAGTTACCTAGCCAGTGAATCGCCTAATAAAACCAACTAAATAAGTCGCCCTTTATCGGAGGTAGCTCGTTACGTCACATTTCGGCACAACCAAATTAGTTGAAGTTAAGAAAGGTTTGCACTATCCTAGGCCTATCCAAGACTCTGCTTCAGGCATGCGCATCATTTGATAATATAAATTACTAAATAACACTGCAGTTTTACTGATTTTTAAAGAATCCTAAATGAACTAAGTTAGTTTGTTGTTCAAAAGTCCCCTTGCGCTCTTCTGCTATTTGATATTGTTTGCACTTCTTTCGATATAAGTAACCGATAAAAAAATCATATTAAACATTCAAAATAAAGCACACTGGTTGCAGAAATATGTGGATCATAAACTCTTGGGTCTTTTTGTAAAGTATAATCTATGCTTTCACTCTTCCTAACCGCTCTTATTAGCTACCGTTGATGTGTGAAATAATTTTGACTAAAACATGCACGAATAGCGATTTAGGGGAAAATTGTGCATATCCTTATCTCTGGGATACAGTGCTGCGGTGGCAAATAAACTCTGGTGTCTTATATTATACTTGTTGGCTTAGCACGTCGGATAAAACGCCTTTCTGACACGGATTACAGTAGGTGGGCTAACTCATGAAAGTCAACGGAAATTCCGAAATGCGTTTTCCTTTCGAAAAGATTAATTAAGTATGGTTGTAAGACTAATCATCTTGAAGCGTATATCTATGATAATTTAGTTACCTCAGGATACCGGCTTTGGAATGAACTTCTTTCTGGCTGCACGCAAAAACTGTACTCTGTAAAAAATGACTTCTTATGTAGCAGGCATTTTTCCGATTGATTTTCAATGCCCACATAAAGTCAATTATATTTCATGGAAAACGTGCATAGAATACTCATTCTTCTGCTCATTCGGTAGAAAATTACGTCTTCTTCCAATTGTATACTCGAAGGATGGGTATGCTTAGGTTTTTAAAAACTTTTCCAATTACCGACTAACTCGGAACCCCGACCTGCCGTTACACTTGCATTCAGAGTTTCTAAGTTATTACACTAACGCAAAGTGTACATATCGGAAGCATATCAACCCTTTTTTATATCCAGGTAATTTATCATGCTAACAATTAACTTCGAAAACGTCCACATGAGGAAGGTCTAAAAAGCAACCTTTATTAACTAGAAACTTGCTAATTCTGCTCACGTGAATCAGGTGACACAAAATGAGGATAATGTAGCTTACTCCAGAAACGAAGGAGCCCTTTCATTTCGGCAGTGCAATTTGGTACTCTCAAACACAGTATTAGCGCCAATATGCGATTGTAAACTTTTTCATATTTGGAATGTTCCACTTATTCTCTTAACCTGTATGGATTGTCAGAAAGCTCTTCTACATGGCGTCTTGTATTTTCGTCGTTGTTGTTTTTTCTTGAAGTATTTTCCTTCCAAAAGGGTTATATTACATCTAGTGTTTCTTCGTTGTTATCAGTTAACCAGAGACCGTTCAGATTTACTTAGGTCTTTTGATTAATGCAGCAAGGTTGATTTCTTAATTATTGGAGATTTTGTGTTAGTTGGGACTTATTACATGGGATAGGTAATCTACATTAATAATGAAAGTGAAACAGAATAGTAAAAAGTCGCAATGCGATTTTGTATTTGTACAGGCGCTGACTATCTATCAGTAGCATTGGGCGAAGTTAGGACAGAAAGCTGTAAAAATGTACTTGCCAAGCCCTTAAACAAGTTCTAGTTTATTAATTTTGACTTGAGTTGCAAACACTTCGAAAACAAGAACAGTTGGAGATGCAATCTCAGTCTTGGGTGAATGTTCGGAGGGGGCGTATGCGAAATCTCTTGAAGACGTTAGCTGTCAGACTTTTAATCGTACCCGAGTGTGATGTGAAATGAAGCGAGCCTAAAAAACCTGATTCATCGGGAGAGGGAAAGAGTAAAGCCAACTTTGGCCAACTTTACGTAGCTAGCCTCAGACGGGTTTTGTGGAGTGAAATTAACCATTTCTTGAGCAGATTGATGGGGCTATAAGGGCGGCTTTCACAGTCAGTACATCTTGAGGCGCCCTACACAGAGTCGTCAGCAATGGAAGCAGTGAGGTGTCTTACAGCTTTCAGGAAGCAATTCAAAATCCACTGTGCTTTCCAGACTTCTATTGAAAGATAAGTACTGCAAACTCCTGCTTTAAGGAACTAGACAGAATGTGAATAAGCGGTCCGCTGTAGTTAATTTCTAGAGTTTTGTTATTCATATAAGAATGCTGAATTGCGGGTGTTACTACTTATGCGCATGCAACTCCCATCTCTCGTACCTCCATATTTGTTGAGTACTTCGCCTTTGGCTTGATACTTCTGTAGGCACTCTGATATTTTTCCCAAGTGGGCAATTGTGCACTGTGGTTCTAAACCATTTTTAAAACAATAAATTGTGATTTCTCGATTAAAGGCGTAAATGGCCCAACAATGAGTATTCATCTTAAATTTAATGGTGATTATTAATACTAGATTTGACCTATGTTTCACGACATCTAATCAAACCTTAAGACCAGTCCACTTACAGTCTATTCGATGGAAATGACCTTTTTCAGGCAAACGTGCATAAAAAATAAAAACGCATTATAGTTTACAAGACATGCAAGTCACTTTATGTCTTTTAGCAAGTTCCACTTATGTGAAACTCGTGACTGTCATTTGTTATAAAACCTCACCTCTGGATTTATATAGTATCATTTTAGTCAATGAACAGAACACTGTTCTCATGATGCTCAATGTTAACCTGTAGGCAAAAACCAATTATCGTGAGCTATTTATGCTTATGAACAACTTATAGAGGCGTAGATTTAAATCTCATTTGCTGATAATTTAACTCTTTAAACCGCTTCAAAAAGTCATGTAAGCTTAATAAAACAGAGCGGATAAGGTGCACTTCGAGCTGCCGGAAAATGTATAACAAAGGCAGGATCTGATGCATGGAGACAAAAAACACTTTTGCTATCCGATGCGCCAATTTTCTATAAATTCAGACAGAAAAACTGACAAATGCTTCCAAGTCAACAATTGGAATTTTCTCATATTGACCCAGTTGTGAAAAACTCGGCGCCTCGGTGGGATTCGAACCCACGAAAGCAAGGGGAAGGCTTGAGTACAGCCAACGCTCTAGCCATCTGAGCTATGGGGCTCCACCGGGAGTCGTTAGTTTAATCACATCTGGGACAAGTTGTCCACCCAACCTACTACTTAGTATGCAATCCACCAAATTTGGTGCAATAGACTAACTGCTCGAGCTGGATTTCCTAAGTCATCCACCTAGACTCCACCAGATGACTAACAGGCTTACGTAATTAATAGGTGTTTTGGTAGATTTAAGAAGTCCTGCTCGAGCACTTAGCCTACTTTAACAGATCTGGTGGCTTCCATACGAAGTAGTAGGCTGGGCGGACAACTTGGCCCAAACGTGAATAAATTAACGACTCCCGATGGAGCCCCATAGCTCAGGTGGCTAGAGCATTAGCTGTACGCAAGCCTTCCCTTGCTGTCGTGGGTTCGAATCCCACAGAGGAGCCGAGTTTTTCACAGTTGGGTCAATATGAGTTATTCAAAATCTGGCACAGCGTTTGATGATAGAAATTTTCTTTAAAATTTCTTCTATCGCGAAATCGTGGATTTCATTAACAAGCACAGCGTTGGGAAGTAAACGGCTAGAAACGCTTTAAACTGTAACTGAAATATAGGGGTAAAGTTAGAAGAGTGCCTGGGACACCAAATATTAAGTTCGCTCACATTCGAGATGGGCTATTTTTTATTATTATTTAGTCTTAAAATTGCTCCTAAGTCGACTAATAATGTGTCTCCCTATGAGTGGGATTTTGATTCGTTTCCTATATTCTGCTTCTGGCTTCGCAGAAGAAAATCGTTATTCGATATTTTAAAGGCTTCCTTTAAAATATTGCGCTTCAAAAATTTACAAAAATCCGTTTACTTTGCTTAAATACGGAACGTAATATCCTCTATTTCTCGTGGCCATTTGCAATTTCTTTCCTGTTTATTGAACAAACCTGGCGCTTATTTTATGTCAGTGTTGACACCATTCACACAATCAGGCTGGGCTATCAGCTAACTGCGCAAAGAATGAGCAAAATTTTGTGCACCGCATCAACCACACAGTCAAGGTACCCAGCATACGCTAAACTACCTGTCCAGTCGTAGAGGGGCGCGCACCGATCGCTTTACGGAACTCACTCGTACCGTTGTACTTTGGGGCTCTCTCTCGAGTTCCGCCAGCAGCCGCGCAGCGGCGTGTAATTTATAGCATTACCGACAGATACAAGCGAGACTGAAATAGCCATTTCTGGTCTATTAGCCGCAGTCAGCCAACCATACCCAACCTCGGGGTATGCAGCCCCCGAGGCTCGACCTCACGACCTATTGGGCGGAGGTCCAACTTCCCAACCACTGGACTACGGGCTCGCTGTCCTGTCGGCTGGGCATGGCTGGCTGATGACCTCTAGTAAGTCAGAAATGTCCATCCCAGGCTTCCTTGTCTCTGTCGGTAATGCTTTTCTACCTGTTCTGTAAAATACGATGACACCAAAAATTATGATGTTTTATTTCAGCGCGGCATTGACGAGATGGGCACTTTTACCTACTTAATTAAATGGACCTCCAGTATATTCATATGGCCGTTGATTTTAAGCAAAATTTGAGGTACATCAACAGATTATATAAAAACTCCGAATTCGAGACTTTTATTTGGGCCATCATTTCCTTTAAACGGAATATTTACTGCTCCACGTTAAAAGTCAGGAAACCGCGGTTGAGAGGATAGTCTGGATTCTGGACAAACAACAAGACCGACCGCTGCCTGCGAGTCGATTTGATTTATGGCGTTGGACTGTTTTGTTGTCCAACTTCGGATGGTTCACCGAGCTACAATCGTGTGACACTTCCTAACTCATAAGAGCCCATGATAGCGCATATGCTTCATAATCCACAAACACAGCCGGAAACGATTAGTGGAATTTGTCGGCTATCACAGCGAATAGTAAACTTTGATGACGCAGGGACCGTCCTTTAATTTCATGTCATGTCATTTCGACAAATTGCATTTTCGAAGCAATACAAGCAAATCGCTTTGTTACACCCTCAACGCCGTCAGTGCAAACATTACTCTTGTATAAACGACACAGTTTGTCATCATCAACAAGAAATAAATGAACAGCTCAACAACAATGAACTGCTTTGTCAGTATTTTAGAATAATCTGGACTCAGGAGTTTGAGAACCGCAGAATAATGGACAAAAAATAGTCTGAAGATTGCGGCGCACCATGGAACTACGAGACCAGACGAAGAAGAAGAAGAAGACGACGAAGAAGAAGAAGAAGAAGAAGAAGAGGCGATCACTGGAACAAGAAATTTCTTGGCCTGACGTTTCGGATTCCCACTCGAACCCATTATCGGAGACGGTTGTTGCAGTCACCGGGGTGGAGGGATATGGAGGGTGGCTGCTGTCACTCTGCATATCCTCGTCGGGGGACGACGTTTGAACTTTGACGGCCATACCCCGCAGTGCGTTTCGACACGTCGATAGAGCGTCCTTACACAACTGCGTTTGTGGCTGATTGGGTGGTTGCTGTTGAAGTTCAGTACTTGCATCGTATTTGTCGCTTTCCTAAACACTTTGGTCTTTAGTCCACCACAATCCTTGCGGCATACAAGGACATCCCGGAAGGCCAGCTGGTTGTTCTCTTCCTCCTCCATCGTAAATTGGCTGTCCGGGAAGACGGCGTTGAGATGTTCTTTGAATGTCAACACCTGATCCCGTTCAATGACGATGAAGGTATCATCCACATACCGGGCCCAGAACTTCGGTCGCTGGTGCTGGAAGACCAGTGACTCTAACCGTTGCAGGACCGCCTCGACGACTAATCCCTAAATCCGCGAACCCATTGGTGTGCCCTTCACCTGTTCGTAGATTGTCCCTTCGAACGTGAAGTACGTCCTGAGACAAAGCTTCAGGAGTTGAAGAACTTGGGCGTGTCCAAGACGATTCTCCGTTTCATCGTAATTGCTTTGTAGAGGCAGCTCGATTGTCTCGATCGCCAGGTCCTGTGGAATAGAAGTAAAGAGGGATGTAACATTAAAAGATACCATGACCTCATTTGGATGGAGGCTTACCCCTTTGAGTTTCTCCATGAACTGTGCTGACGAAGAGACCGTGGTGTCTGACTCAGCGGTCAGGAACTTGAGACCCCAGAACAGCCACTTAGTCAGTCCGTACTTTGGAGTCCCTTTGAGCGAAACGATGGGTCGGAGAGGAGCGCCGTCTTTGTGCACCTTAGGGGGGCCACAGAATCGGGTCAAAGCCGTAATTTGGGGTCTCGCCATGCGTCTGTAGGTCGGTGTTATTGCACCTGAGTTCTCCCAGGCCAACAACGTAACATTAATTTCGCGTGTCGGCGCTTTCACAGGGTTTGTTGCACATGGGACGTAGATCGCATCTTCATCTTCTGGACGTAGAACTGTCGGCCCTCCAGTAAACCTCTGGCTTTTTAAAGGTAGTCTGTCTTGTCCAGTACAACCGTGGCGCTCCCTTTGTCCGCTGGCACGATGACCAGGTCTTTATCGGTCTTGAGTTCTGTAAGCGCATCACGTTCGACCTTGGAAAGCACTTCCCGCGGCCTGTGGGCCATCAGGAGAGACGACAGTTGCTGTCTCCGTTGCTCCTCCGTTGCCTCCGTCTGACTAAGGATTGATTCCACTGCTGCAATCATGTTCACAGGTTTCGCGTCAACCGTGTTAAATGGAGCTTCATGCGGTAAAACCTGCATCTGATCCTTCGTCAGCCCCTTTGAAGACAGGTTATGCATCAGTTTGCCGTTTCTGGGCGACGCTGGATTGGGCAGCTTTCGGGATTTGTTCTCCAGTGCTGCTTCGCGTATCACTCTCTGTTGGCGGGCTTCTTCAGTCACCCTTTGCATGACCAGATTTGTATCGATCTCGCCCATGAACTCACAGCATCTGGTCTTTTCTTGGTCAATCCTTTGACGGTACTTGCGAAGTCTCGCGTGACAATCTTGGAGGAGCACTCGGATCATCCTTCTGCCGTGTTGCTGCAGTCACCGGGGTGGAGGGATATGGAGGATGGCTGCTGTCGCTCTGTACGTCCTCGTCGGGGGGCGACGCTTGAACGTTGACGGCCACCCCCCGCCCTGAATTGATGATGATGATGATGATGATGGTGATGGTGGTGGTGGTGGTGGTGGTGGTGGTGGTGGTGGTGGTGGTGGTGGTGGTGGTGGTGGTTATCATCGTGGTAATTTTCTGTGTTTACCAGGGGCTGCGGCGGTATGCCGAGGTGCGGGCTCAGTCGTGCCACCCACCTGCGCCCTCCCCCACCTTCGGTCATTTTGATTCTGTCTTCACACGGGTTCCAGTGCGGTAAATGCTGTGCAAGTCGACTACCATTATAAACAAACTCACGCACGATTCACTATGCCTGTTCACACCTTGCCGTGGACGCACGGTGGACACCGTCGGCAACGTCGGTCGAAATGTTGAGACAGTTCGCACACAACTCCGTTTGTAACATAACGAGTGTCTGCTGTGACGATTTCGGATTTGGTGTGTAGGCGACCTGCTTGTACACCGTCGTTCTTATGTGCTCGTTGGGTTTTCGATGATTAAGGACGTCCAGGAACGTCAGTTGTTGCTTTCCGCCTCCAGTATAAATTGGATATCCGGGAAAATGAAATTCAGGACATTATGAAATACATCGATCACTCCTCGTTTGATGATGACGAAGGCATCGTCGGCGTATCGCGTTCAAACTTTTAGCTTGTAAGTTACGAAAAGGGGTCTTTAACTCTTGGAGAACTGCCTCGGCGACGAGGCCCGAGATCCCATCGACCTCGGTCTAATATGCTCGTACGTGATCGTCTTGAAGGTGAAGCATGCTTTCGGACAGAATTTCAGGGGTTGGGCAAGATGACTCCGCTTCACCGACTCGCCCGTCACGTCATACTGCCTTTCGAACAATTCGCAGACTGTTTTGACAGCCAGGTTCAGTGAAAACTGTTAGGATAAACCCGTATAACTAATGCTGTGTTAACTTGGACATTACCTCCCACAAATAATTTGAGACGCGGTAAGATAATCATTTCCGACGACAGAAGCTTGTCTGATTTTGAAACGCCAGGACTGTAAGATTCCATGTGGCACCTGTAATGCGGTATACAGTGGCCAAAATGGAAAGTCGGCCTCCACACGCATACACGACCATCAGCCTGCCGTAAAGAGGCATGACCACTTGTCCAACGTTGCTACGCATACACTGGAAACTGGCCATAAATTTGCTTGGAACAAAACTCGCAGCGTTGGTGCCTATCCACCTAAGAGAGACCGATAAGTCCCCGAGGCCGTCCATTCCGATAAATCATGCATTAATCGGCTTAATGAACCAGATGCCGCGTAAAATAATCTCGGAGGAAAATGGAACAGACGTCAGCCAATACGCATGGGATGTCAAACCACAGTCATAGCTAACTGGCAGGAATGTAAGGGCACTATCGATTTCTAGGCACTTGTAAATTGTTGACAGTTTTTCACAATTTTCTCACATCTGAAGACGATCTGGGAAACCGGCGTCGAAAACTTACGGAATATATATGCATGGAATGGTATAGGAGCGCTCACTGGACGTAATGCGGAACTCACTCGTCCAGTTGTCCCTTGAGGCTCTCACTCGAGCCCGGCCAGCAGCCGCGCATAAGCGCTTAATATGGGCAAAATAGCACTACGGACAAAGACAAAGAAAACTGCAATGGCCGTTTGTGGCTTATTAGCCGTTGTCAGCCAGTCGGCCACTCCAGTCTTTCCAGTCTTTTTCAGTAATGCTATTCTGCCTATTCTACTCGTTGCTGGCGGGACTTGGTAAAGAGTCCCAAGACACAATGAGACGGGTGAGTTCCGTATCGCGATCTGTGAGCGCGCCTCTACCATTATATATGAAAAAGAGAAGGCTCTTCGGAAAATCGAGTTGTACTGGTAAATTTTCAAGTCGGTGACACCGGCCCGTCGTCAGACGAAATGAACGGAGGGGAAAGTGAAATGGGCAGACTAGGTCGGCTGGCGTGACAGGACAGACAACGACAAACGGACAGCTGATGCGTGAGAGGGGTGGGCAACGAGTTATGGTAGGCTGTGGGGCAGGGGGAGGGAAGGAAGAACCGTTAGGGTGGAGAAAATGCCGGGGGATTGCGGATCAGTGTAGATGCGGGCGGCTGGTCACTGATGCGGGATGAGGTCAGGGGGCAATGCGCCGACGTTGGGGGTGTTAGGGAGTTTCGGTTGTTGTACACCGTGTCGCAAGAGGGGGGGGAGCGGAATGGCGAAGCAGCATACGTCTATGTGGCCGAGTGGGGGTTAGCATTTGTTAGGGTGTGGGAACAAGACAGTGAGTGTGTACGTAAGCCCAAGTAGTGAGCGTCTAGATCGACGTGGCGGTTGATGCTGGTCGTGCCAGAATGCCATGCTTCGAGGAATTCTCGCGCTTGTCTGGTGTTAGCCCTTGCGATCACTTCAGTACCGTCTCAATTTAAGTGGTGGTCATGTTCAAGGGCATGCACAAACACTAGGGACAGAGGGTCACGTTGGCGGCGGGCTAACTTGTGCTCGTTAATGCGAGTTCCAAGACATCGGCCTGTATGGCCAATATAAACAGAAGGGCGGTTGGCGCACGGTATACTGTAGATGACGTTAGTAAGTTGTTCTTTGGGCACCGGGTCCTTTACTCGGCATAATGCCTCACGTAGGGAAGATGCGGGCTAATGGGAAATAGAAATGCCAAAGCGTTTTATTTGTCGGGAGAGTATTTCAGAAACTCCCTGAATGTACGGCAGTGAATATACTTTCTCTGACACCCTATCTCCATTAGACTCGGGGCTTGGTAGTTGTCTTTGGCGTCTGAGACAGTTCTTTAAAAACTGGCAGGATATCCGTTAGACCGGAATAACCGATGTAAGTAGGCCAAATCTTTCTTAAGTAAGTCATCACTGTTGCAGATGCGATAGCTCCGATGGAAAAGAGTGCGGACACAGCTTCGTTTATGGACCGCAGGATGATTGCTCCCATAGTTAACTAGGATTTCGGCAGTAAAGTCTTTTCAGTGGACGCTTGTTGCAAGTTTGCCATCACTAAGCCTTTGTATACTCACATCTAAGAACGGGAGAGTATCTCCTGTTGCTTCTTCGCGAGTAAACTGTATAGCTCGGATGACGCTATTTAAGTTCTGGTACAACCGCTCAACTTCGCTGGTCTTTATGGTGACAAATGTGTCGTCCCCGTATCGGAGCCAGATTTTTGGTTCGAAGGTTTGCACAACATCCTGTTCTAGTCTCTGCAAGACTAGTTCTGCAAGCAGCCCCGATATTGTGGAGCCCTTTACTTGTTGATAGTACATGTCATCAAACTGACAATAATTCTTGACGCAAAGCTTAGGCATGTCTAGAACACGCTGTGTTGGAATGCCAATGGGACATTGCTCTAGACATCATGCTACGCTGCCAATCGCTATGTCATGCGGTATTGAAGAAAACAGGGCAACAACATGGAACGATAGAATGCATTTGTCACGACTTACTTCAAGGCCTTCGATCTTTTGTAGAAAAGCCTGAGAGTTTTTAATGCTGTACTGCGATCCACTTGTGAGGTGCTTTAAGTATCTGTATAACCACTTGGCAAGGATATAAGTAGGAGATCCAATAAGTGGCACAATGATCCTCAGCGGCGCATCTGTCTTGTGCACCTTCGGAAGGCCGTACGCACGTGCGATACAGGGGTCACTGATGGCCATAGATCTGCTGTCGTCTGGACTTATGAGCGTCAATCGGACAAGCTCATTCCCTTTCTTCTTGATAGTCGCGGCTAGTTTTTTCGTTGGGTCTACAGCGGGTGGCGCATAGGCTTCCCTGTCATCGAAGACTTGGTTTGCCTTGTTAACGTAGTCAGCCTTGTTCATGATAACGGTTGCTCCACCTTTGTCAGCAGACATAATAACTATTTTGTCATCTGTCCTCGGCGATCGCAACGCCTTTTCCTCTTCGGTCGGTAGGGTTTGTGCACCCTAAAGATAAGGTTAACTATTTGGACACAAAAGAAGTCGTTTACAAGATCCCTTGTGAAGCGTGTGATGCCGTCTATTGTGGCCAGACTGGAAAACGCGCCTCTACACGCATCCACGAACACCAGTTGGCAGTGAAGAGGCGAGACCATCTATCTCAAGTGGCCATGCACACCCTGGACACCGGACACACTTTCGCTTGGGAAAAAACTCGCATTGTCGCTGTGTGCCCCGCAAAGAAAGGCCGAGAGTTCCTTGAGGCCATGCACTCAGACGATTCATGCATCAACAGGCACATCGAGTTGGATGCCGCGTACAGAAATCTCAAGGAGAGATGGAAGAGGCGGGGACCAATCAGAACGGACTGACAAACACGACGGCCGCTTACTGGCGTGAGCGTCAGGCGATTAGAGATTTTTTTACGTGTACTTAAGATGTTAGCTGTGTTGGCGCATTTGCTTTCCGTCTGTGCCTTATGACGACTCGGGGAACCGGCGTCGAAAATTTGCACAATAAACTTCCTTTCCCAAAGCACACATTCGACTTCGATATATATATATATATATATATATATATATTTAGAAAGATGAAGTTCTTTGGGAAACAGCAAAATTTTATTGTGAATTTTCGAGACTGGTTCCCCAGCTCGTCTTCAGACAATGGGCGTGCAAAAACAATTAACTTTTAGCCTGAGTC